TGGCCGAGCTGGATGAGGATTTCCTGAGCCGGTAAGGTAACTCTTGAGCTTAGCCGTGATCAAGGACCTGCTTGTAGATCTGGTTAGAGTCAGCAATTGATCTTTGGTTCTCGTGATCTGAATGGGTATCGCTAGGAGTTTCGACTCGGAGTGTCAAGGTGATGAGGGCTGCTAATCAGATGATGGCACGATGGAAGGTGTAAAGGTCAAAACCCTGGTTTGAGACGCTTGAAGTATAGATGTGAGAGAGCTTACCTGTGTTGGCGGGATTCACCGCCGAGTAGCCGTACCTTATCCGATGTCATCAAAGAGTAGAGCTCGAAGGTCTATATTGTTGACTTGGTGTAAGAGACGGGTATAGAGACGGGAGGATAGTTTATATAGACCGAATAGTAAGGGAATAGTCCAGGGAGATTAAGTTTTATTGCAGTTTGTTCCGCGTGTCAATAGAATGCGCGTCGCAATTAGAAATCAATATTAACTAGCGCCTCCTACTATCTCCAATCAAGGGGAGCAGCTAGAAACCGTGGGGTAATAGCAAATGTCTCATATCAGGGATGTGGTTGCGGTGAGTGAATGGTCAAATCAATAGTTTATTTGACGAGTACATATATGTGGGGTTTCAAAAAAAGGGATAACATGAGCTAATTTACTGGGTCAATTGTTGTGAGACAATGCCCGGGTCTATGCTGTGTTTGTTACGTCTCTATTGAGCTGAGGTAATGATAAATACCGTAGTTTGGTCCATGGACGATGGGCAAACCGCTTTCCGATTTGACAGATCAGTTTTTTGTTAGCCAAGATGCTGGCAAATTTGATAAGAGAGAAACTTACGGTCCGTTTGCCACTTGGTGTATGCTGTCCAATAACGTACAGATGTTGGTAGTTGAGTGTAACTTGGAGATTTGTGGTTTCACCGATAGATTCAAGCGTCCAGTATAATGGTGAACTCCCGGAATAACTTAATATGCCAATTGAAGCTCATCAGTAAGTTGACATACGTCCGTTCATGACTAGCAATGAAGTGAATAGAATCCACGCATATTGAGACACCAATTCATTAAATACTGAAATCGGTCACTACTTAGGTGTCACTACATAACCTCCCTCCTATAGAATGCGGTTGGGGTTTCCGGACTCGGTAGTTCCTCAAATCATCTTATTGTTTCACCTCCGACGTTCGGATCCTCAAGCCAAGTACAATATATCTTATCAGAAGCTTGTATATGTAAGCTCCAGTGAATAACGGTAAGCCTGGAGTTCCAATAGCTATTGATGTCAAGATAACCACTTCAAAATACCTTGCTAGTGTTGTAGGAAACTCCATACGGGAAAAAAGACAACATTTAAAATTTTGTGAAGGTTGTGTTTGGTTTTTTTTTGGGTTGGAAAAGCGTTGGTGTTTTAGTTAAGCTGATGCATAGTAACGTAGGATGTCGCCGTAGACATCTCGTTGAAGCTGATGTCCTTGGAGTTGGTTCTGGGCATCCTCGCTCTTTGCCGGCTCTTTATATTACAGAGGTGTCTAGTTCCTTACATCGTTCCAAAGTTGATGAAAATTTGATTATGCTTCTGCCAGCCATCACCTCATTGCTCGGCCACCGACTGGGTCGTCTATACCTATAAACCTAGTCGTAGGGATGTTGATTTGCCTCACATTTGAGTTAAATGCGGCCGTGGTAACATACTTCACGCCGGTGCCAGGTAGTTTCGGTAATGGGAAACTTGGTGCTAGCTAGAAGGACTTGATTATTCTTAAGATAATCTAGAAGCGTGTTGCTAGTACCTTATAACAGGTTAATAATGTTGGCCACCGCGAGAAATTGCTTGTAGTTGGCGTATTCACTCGAAGGTGGATGCGCATCCTTTTATCTAGATAAATGGTCGCGGTACCTTTTCTATTGAACAAGCAGTATTAACTAAATCTTTTAAACCCGAAAGGGACCTAGAAATAATTTCTAAGAACCCAGTGAGATCTGCAAAGCCACAACTCATAAGAGAATCAAATGCTCCCCACTATGCTGTCACAATGTAAAATATCGGCAAATGGAATCTGCGCTTAAGAAGGCCAATACTAATACCACTCTAGCCCGCAATACTGTAGCCTGCATCGCCAACATGTGGTTCTGGAGCTATAAGTGTACTCGATACATGGTCTTGATGATAATCTACAACTTGTTTGGTGGTCGGCAACACGCTTGCAGCCTTTATCACTAGTCAGCTATTACTGGAGTAAAGAAGACGTCGTAAGCCTGACTCCTTGGAAATGCGATAGATACTATGCTCTTAAATATTTGCTGCTCCTGTCCATTATCGCAAATTTGGGTGTGGTATCAAAGTCACATAATCATAATATCATTAACGATTAATTGAAGGGGGGAGGATCGTGATCATGCTTCGTAGCCAATTTAGGAGACATGAATCAGAAACTTGTTGCTTGTGAGACAATGTTCTAATGAGTAACTCTCTTCAACGTGATGAATGGACTTTATAATTGAGATATACCCAGGACAGGAAAATTGCTACCTCGAGGCTGGTAAACCATCCGTGCCATTACGATGGGCACAAGTTTAACTCGATAGTAATTGTTCAGACCTCGCAATTCAATTCCCAACTATATTAGTAGCAGGTACAAGACAGTTACCAGGTTAGGTTTCCAGACATTGCATTTACGCTGCTATGTAGATAAGTTCGACTTATGCGTCGCAACCTTATTACCCCGAGCACTACATTATTAGCCACGCCACAAGGCAATGTCAAGGTGTTTTACAGGAGATCACCTCATCGAGCGACCAATATGATTATCCGAACGTTTAGGGCAGTTTAAAGCGGCAGGCTCTCAATGAGAAGCCAAATGAATTAGTAATCATTTTACTTAAATCCTTATTACAAGATGCTATAGGAGCTGTCTATATAAGGAAGTAAGGGAGCACATTATATGAGGACCCCTCACGAAGCTAGAAGGTCCTTTTTTCTACGGGTTACTTGTACAATGTTTGTTGATCACAACGACGATATAAAAATATAGTTACGACTCGCAGATCGATAGATTAGAGCAAAATAAATGGACGAACGGGGAATTGAACCCCGGACCCCTCCCAGACGCGCTATTCCGAGTATCTCGGAGATGCGAAGGGAGTATCATACCCCTAGACCATTCGCCCGTGCTGATTGATTTGTGGAGAACTGAGTTTTCGGCGTTGCATCGTGGAAAATATAGCGCCTTAGAACGCCAGCGAAGCTATTCGGCCGATAGTTATTACTTCTTCCCTCTATAGCATCAATAGATATACACTTCGTTCCTTAATAGTGGTGAGATCCAGCATTTTTTGTTTTTCCCCTGCGTGGCAGGCCTTTTTGGAACCATTATTGTTGAATTTTCCGCACGCACGTACGGCTTAAGCACACAACTTGTCGTCTTACTCCGGCAACGCCGGTCGAGGAAATGAAGTATATGGACCTATCCATTTCCTTATTTGATTCATAGTTGTCGACGAGAGAAGATCAAGATTACTAATGAAAGCTGCGGCTGAACGGTTGAATGGGCAGTTTATACTACGTGCAAGTCGCCGGCATTACCCGCTTGAGCTAAGGCGTTAAGAGTCAGGACAACACATTTCTGGGTCGTTGAGCATATTAATGGATTGGACACGTTTTAGACTTGATGTGGTTGAAATAGGAATGCTTGTAATATTTATGGGGCCTAACGGTTTGCCCTCGGTGATGCTCGTGGTGAGGGAGGGTTGACTGATGTGGTACGATGGATAGCGCATATATACGGTGACTGCAATGTAGTTTACTCTGCTTCCGCGAAATCAATATCAACTCGTTGCTACAACAGAATCGCTACAATAGCTTAAGCTAGGCCGTAGTATAATCTCTCTCGCGCGTCCTAGAATCAATCACGAAATCACGGTAGTGGCCTGGAACTAGTGATGTTTATAAAACATTATAGTCTATATATTTCATCTAAAAGCTCTCAGTCCTTTAGATCCCTGCTGTAGGAGAGATCAAGAATGCCAAAACCGACGGAGTATTACGATAATGGGTCCTTATAAGCAGAAGTAGTTTCACTGCATTTTTAGCCCTAAGGCGGGGGACGTAAAGGAGGCCTCGGTGTAAAGCAGCACAGCCCTATTGTCACTGCCCCAAGTGTTGAAGAAAAACGTCACGATGAGAGTTAAAGTAGCTCGCTGCCTCAGCTGCTACCTTGGCTATTCCACATCTCTTTGAGGGGCCTTGGCGAAGTGGGGAGGCCGGGGAGTGTTGGTTATTCACTGCATTTTTAGCCCCAAGGCGGACGATATTCGTATGAAGCAGCACAGCGCTCTTGTAATCACCTTTCAATGTTTAAGGACGTCACGGTAAATGTCCTGCCACTCTGGTTATTCCACATCTCTTTGAAAAAATAAAATGCCCGGTAGCGCCAGGCAAGCTGTTACTAAAATGGAAAGCTTTGCCGGCGAAGCTCCATTTTAAATACGCTTTGATTTAAATATTAAGAAACCCTGTGAAGTACCTAGATAGGCAATAGATAAGCTGCAGACACTGAACTAATTAATTAGAGGGCAGCAGACACTTTTAGAGTTCTAGGGGGGTCCGGATATGAACTTCTCAGGACAAAGCTTTCCAATAATTCAAACCAATTCTAGCAAAGTCGCGACTCCACCCGTCCACATACAAATGCCAGGACGTCTCTTCACTGCATTTTTAGCCCCGAGGAAGGGGACATGCGTATAAAACTCTGTAGAGAAGCACAGCGTAAAATCAGATGCCCCGGTAATAGGCAAACGGCAAATTAATATTATTATTGAAGCTAACATGATGGTAAATGAAGTAATTAGATAATAGTATCTAACAGCATTGTATTGCTACAAACCTGGTGTGTTCCCCGCCCCCACTTCGACCGTAGAAAAAGGAGGGGCCGGCCCACGAACGAAGGGAATTTCTTGATTTCGGCAAATCAAAAAGAAGATTGCAGAGGGAAAAAACATAAATGTCGACTAGGGCCTGATTCGAACAGACGCTCCCGAAGGAAGTAGATAGCTGAAAACTCCTGATTAAACTGCAGGAACCTTCGAGTCTACCGCGTTAACCACTCCGCCACCTAGCCGCTGCGTGATGATTCTATGTTGTTTTCGGTTGGTAATTTGTCTTCTGTACCTCCAATCAAATCAATACTAGCCTAGGGCATTCCCTGTTTGATAAAACAGTATGCAGAATATCAATTATGAAAGGGTCAGGGTCAGAAAGGCTTTGGATCAAGTTGATGCGCTTACGTAGCTTTGCTTCTCGTTGTAGTGAACGGTTAAGCGAGCTGTCAATATGCAGGGTCATATCATCATGGGAAAGGAGGGCGACGAGTAGGCGCTGCGTCATGGCCGTGAGTCGAAGTGAATAGATGATGGAGGTCGTTGTCAATTCAATTGGGCTGGAAGATCAACTTGCTTAGGAGACAGTGAGCTGGAATCTAGCTCTGAAAACAGGCGTTACAACATGTCCACGTCGTGCATATACCGACAGACACAACATAATCTTCAACTACCAAACCGGAGAAAGACTGGTATAACAGCTACAAGATAGCTGTGTCCTGGCTGCCGTATTAAATCACTAAGGGCACTAAGGCCTGCCTCACCTTTTCGTTTTGCTAATATCCTTCTTGCTTCCGTAGTCAGGAATATCAACTCTTCATCTGCGAACATTAAGCATAGAAGCTAGGTAGTCTACCGAGTACACACAAGAGAAATACCTTAGTCCCGCAATATGCATCTAATGTCGGCATTGAGCGTGTGCTGGCCGAGAACAGCACTCCTCTTCCACAATTTAGGCATAATTATTGACGCTCCCCAACAACATCTTCTCGGATTGGATCGAATCCACCAGAAACGACATTGTACCTCTAGGGAGAGGACTGAATATCTTGCAAGATGGAGCATACGTAGCCTCCTCCTACTTGCATGAGTTCTATCAAGGCTCACTGCTTTAATGCTTAAGTGACTGAGAGGCAGTTCTTAATGAGCGAGGCCATAAACTCATCAAAGCTATCAGGTAAGATAAAGCTCCACGCTGACGTATTGCATCATCACAAAGATTCGATAAGTGTTTTCCAACACTGATATATTGAAGCCTCCCGTAACTATCCGCTGGTATCTCCTATCCTCGCGTGATGGTCACTTGATTCATTCCGGCTTATCAAGAAGCATGCACCTGTACCTGAAAAATCAAAAGCATTCTTCTGGAACAGAGTAAACTTCAAGAGCTGGTATTCAAGTTTGGTCAAGTTGGTTGTGACAATAGAGAGAATATGGTTAACCTCACCACCAAGAAACAATCAACAACCCCATTGTCTCGATTGGTCTAGTGGTCAGGATACCTGCTTGTCATGAAGCAATTCGCAGGTGGCCGGGGTTCGATTCCCCGATCGAGAGATCTTATTTTTTTCGATTCTTTGCGTCTGATTACATTTAAAATATCGGCTTAGATCATAACTTTTTCCTTTTCGATGAGGTGATTTTGTTCTATTTTACGTCGGTTGTTCTTATTTGTGATGTTGAGCAAGCGGGCTAGATTAGACCTATATGCTGTCACGTATGGGACTATACCAACTGTTCTTGTTCATCAATTGTGCCAGAGTTAATGATTAATGCTGCAGAAGTGTTCCAAGTATATCAATTAAAAACCTAGGTGATTATAACATCTAATGAATCTATCTCTACAGAGCCGTAGCTACGAAATGAGCATAGGATTCGCCAAGGCAAACCGCATATAAAAGAGAAGAGCCCAGACAAAAATCCGCCCACGCATGCTTTGGGAACGATGATCAAGTTTACCGGCAGGTTTACTCGATCCTCTTCTTCCCTTCCTCCGCATTAAGATATCTCGCAGTGCTCAGTCCGCGTTCGTGTCTAGCGACAAAAGAACCGATCACCTTGCCTTTTCTGATCTTTCCGATCGTCTCCTGGTAACCCTCGATAGCCCACGGCCGTGGGTTCAACTTTGGCCAGTTCACCTAGAACATGAATTAGTACATTCATCTAAATCAAGCAAACCCTTTGACGAGTGTGGGTGAATAGTTCGTCACTTACAAATAGCATGCCGTTTTGAAGGATAAAGTTCAGAGACCAACCGCTAACGACCAACCAGAAAAGGATGAAGAGGCGCATGGGAAGGACGGTGGAATCCGGCAGGCGCTTGCTGAACAAGCCTAGGAAGACGAAAAATATGCTGAAAGCGAGGATATAGGGTATACTCTGGATGAGAATCGGCCTACGGTCGGCGAATACGAGCGACGAGCCGATGTTAGCGGTGGTAGGCTCATAGGCACCTAGAAATAGGTCATAGGCGTCTTGCCGGGGTCCGTCTCGGAAGTTGTTTAGGTAGTATCGAGTCACGGCGATGTTGCCGTCCTGGAGAGTCCCTTGCTTGGTTCGTTTGCCCAACCGTGTAAGGTCCGTTTTCATGGCCCCAGTGCCAGCATATGCTTTCGACACCGTATCGGCATTATCCGCCCACAAGTTGCGGAAGAGGAACTCGAAAGCTGGGTCGGTCGTAGCAAAAGTTTCCCCTCGTTGTTGCAGACCTAGATCTACAAAGATACGATCCAAAGTCCATCGGGCCAGCATACTCTGGACCACATTTGTACGATCGAGCGAATCCATGCAATTCGTCCGCACGACACTGGTTTGGAAGTTCCTCGTCTCCAGTCCACCATGTGCAGGCATATCGACGCCTCGGAAATACTGTTGTTCTATCAATGCATCATGCAACTTGTCAACCAACATCATGGCACGATGCATCTGGAGCCCCTTGGTCTCGTGGTGAAAGTCAAAATAGACATAATGCAAGCGGTCAAACTCTTGTTTGGCGGTAGTAGGTTCGACGACACGGAACTTCTCGTCGGTGAGATGGTCTTTACTGACTGATTCAGTCTTCGAGGTTAAGAGCATATCTACCATTTGTTCGTAGGCCTCCTTCACGCGCTTCTCGCGACCTTTTTGATTAACTAAATTGACGAGGTAGTTGTCGCCATATATGCGAATCTGCTCATCGAAGTGCTTCTTGGCGGCAGAGAAGGCAGTTTCGATCCCGCGAATTTGAAGTTTCGGGGTGTACTTCAGAGCATTGATCTCGGACCAGTAGACCGGGACACTTCCTCGGGTTTGGACGTAGGACATGATCTGCATTTCCCGTCCTTCAGAAGCACCGAACTTGCCACTTTGCATATCGGTGCTTCCTGCGTACCCCCCTAGACCACCACCCGTGTCGTTCAATACTACGACTTGCTCGGTTTCGTTGTAATTGGCGGCATGTCCTTCCTCGTCAATACCTCTAGTGAAATATCTGGTTCCAGCTCGGTATCGCGACTTTCTTGTGATAAGGACAATGGTCAGGGCCGTGCCCTTGAACTTAGTTGGCCGTATTTCCATCGTACCCCATATCAATGGCAGGATGAAGGGGTCAGCAGCTGGCTGTGGACCTTGCTGGGATCGATTGCCTATCTTTCGGAAATTGATTAAATCAGACTGAACGAATCGGTTCCAGAAGAAGCGATCGTCGGCGCGCATCCAGAGAGGGGCAGAGTTGTCGATAGAAGCTTGCCTCTGAAAGCTGTTGGTGAGGTCGATCGAATAGGAGAAGTACATGGGACCACTCATAATAAAGGTCTTGAGGAGAAATAAGAATTGGTCTTCATCAGGGTCACGAATCTGGCGTTCTCGCATCGGGAGGAAGTCTGTCGAGATAACCTTGTACACCATGTGCCCCTTGAGGCGACCCACGGGTTGGGCTTTCGTAATGACGATGACATACTTGTCTATTCCAACCTGTCAGTCCTCTATTCCAAGTCCTTTTAGGAAAGAAGTCCCTACCTAGCCTTAGTCGAATGAGACCCAGGATGCCGGCTATACTAGATACGCGAGCGACACGTTTGCTGCTGACGGAGGCAGTTTCGCTCAGACGAACATCGCCGGTTGGCCTGTCGATGACCAGAGCTGGAGCGGTGGGAGAAGAAGGTGATGTGAATGTGTAGGACTCGGCGGCAATGTGGACATTGATGTCCCGGTACGGAAGCGTCATGATGGGCAATATGATAGCACGGTCCGGCGCACATTCATAGTTTCGAGGAGAGAAGGAGAGACAGGCTTAAAGAATTAGGAACAACAGGTAGGTGGTCTCTAGGCTATAGCCTCGTAGCGCTCAACCTGACGTCGCACTTTGGACTCGGGGGGATCGAGTTCTCCTGAACCTCGAAATGCCTAAATGTGTTATTTGGAAACGTGTAGCCTTACATATTTCTATAAGCCACATAGCGTGAGATTTGAGCAGACATGGATGCATATTCACATGGTAGCCCCACCAAGATCCAGCCCAATCGAGGTGTAGATTGGAGTACGTAATCAAACCCGTCCCTATACAGTGTTCTAACAGGTGAGATCTATCTTTAGGTACTGTGTGCCGTATAGCGGGCTTTAGCTGCCACCTGACTAGATTCAACGGGTCATCCAGAACCTCACAATGGACCCTACAAGGGCCGTGGCCACTGTAGTTGGTGCACTGGCTTGCCTAGACTAGGCCCCCAGCATACAAGGCCCCGGTCAATCTTGGCCCTTCAGCCACTCACACTCACCACTCAGCTCACGCTGGAACCAAGCTTCCAAGTCACTTCATTCATCAAATGTCCAGGCAGTGACCGGCACCAAACCCCCCAACAAGTTTCCAGCACCACCATTCCACTACCGCTGCAACGACACGCCATCGCCATCCGAGCTTCTTGTCTCGTCGCCTCATATTCTCGCAGCCTCCTCTCTCTACACCCGCACCCCGTCGACGTCCGACATTCACCAAGCTCCGATAAGATACGCCGTTCCCCCCATCGGCCTCCTTTGTCTCTCGATCCGTCATAACCGCGCAGCCAGCCTCTGCGCCCTTCTTGGCTATCCACACCACACATCATCCTATAATGGCTTCTCGGACAGGGCCAGCTGCGGGCCGCGGCATGAACACTCGTTTCGCACAATTCAAGCTAGTTTTATTGGGTATGCTTGTCTCCCCGCTGCTCATGTTACTGCTCGTTGATACTGACGCAAGTCCAGGAGAGTCCGCCGTCGGAAAGGTAACGGAGACGACGTCGATGCCAACCGAGAACGCCGATCAAGCTAACAACTGTCTGTGAATTAGAGCTCGATAGTGCTGAGATTCGTTAAGGTACTTGATAAATCCCATCTGCGTATTATTCACCGGGATATAGTTGCTTATCATTATTCTTGTCCAGGATCAATTTGACTCGTACAGAGAATCGACCATCGGCGCTGCTTTCCTCACACAAACCATATCTCTCGACGAAAACACTACTGTCAAGTTCGAGATCTGGGATACCGCCGGCCAGGAGAGATATAAGTCGTTGGCGCCTATGTACTACCGGAATGCCAACTGCGCCGTAGTTGTATACGATATCACTCAATCTGTACGTGCTGTTATCATGTAGCTGGAGAGACGCCACGGCTTGACTGACTCTGGACGATTGTAGGCATCCTTGGACAAGGCAAAGGCGTGGGTAAAGGAACTGCAACGACAAGCGAACGAGAACATCATTATTGCGCTTGCTGGAAACAAGTTGGATTTAGTAAACGAGCAGCCCGATAAGCGCGCGGTTCCGGTGGCGGAAGCGGAAGCTTATGCTAACGAAGCCGGTTTACTATTCTTCGAAACCTCGGCCAAGACGGCGGAGAACGTGCAAGAATTGTTTACTGCTATCGCTAAGAAGCTTCCCTTGGACCAAGTCGGGCCTCGTCACACTCGACCTGGCCAACGACCGGGTGGTGTTAACCTGGGACCGGCGGAGGGTAGAGACACGCAGGCAGGAGGACCTTGCAGCTGCTAGAAACGTCGTTGTAGCATTTTGTGCCGCGATGATAAAGGGATAAACCTCTCAATCTGAAATATTGGGCTACTTATACGGCGTGTACTTTACTTATCGCCTGCCAAACCGCCGAATTCGTGTCGTCCTCGAGCAGACAGACGTCGACATTACCTTCCAAGACTGCGCACTTAATAGAAGTGTGGGGGTGAGTGCACGAAAGTGCGTATGAGCGGAGATTGTTATTTCAACGGTGGGGAGCAGAGAGAGTAGTCGTGAATCTGGTGTATATTCATTCCATTGGGGGTTCTCTCGGTAGGACGGCATTACGGTTTCTCTTTTCCCTCGGTTTGTTTTTTTAATACTTGAGATTCTTGATGAGATTCTGAAGTACTGCATTGGTCTGATATGGTCGTTAGTTAGACTGGTGATGTGACCTAATGATCACGCAGAGAGCACAAAGCTACAGAGTGCTTTTTGATGCAGCGTTGTGAAGTATAAGTAGTAATACGATAGAGCACTAATTGTCCTGGTTTGAACGTATATACGTGCCTTTCTTATTGAAACACACAT